ATTCCAAAATTGGGGGTATACGTCTTCAAAAGACTGTTTTGTTAAAATTCTCTGGTCAACCACAATAAAGTTTGTGTTTTTGTTAACTTTAGATATTATTCTTAATAGTTTTAAAGAAAAAATGGCATCTAAACAGTTTAGATTTTGAGAATGATAAGAAATAAAGATATTTTGATATTTTTTTCTGAATGACATGGACAGATTCTACATCAATTTGTTAATGTTTTGCAATAAAAATTTCAAATATTCTCTTGGCAAATGAACATTTTTGATTTTCATAAGTTTTAAAATAAATAAGATGTGATTTGGTGCATAACTTAATTAAATATGATATCACTCTTCTTGATGTTCAATTTTGGCTGTTGAGCTTTTAGAGGTATGTGCTCTGAGACATGTTGTATGAAAATTAACCTGCAAAAATATGTGTTTTATGGGTGATTTAGTAAGTTTAAGACTTATTCAAGGTATTCAAATTAAAAAATGATGAGTTTGACAGAAAATTCTGAAAGTACGGACCTACCTTAAGCCTTATGTTTTTTCTATGAAATACTTTATTTAAACGTTTCTTTTTAAATATATTGGGAGTGATATTGTTGCATATATTGTTTTCCTATTTTATCAAACATTCAGGGTATATAGTTTTGCCCTGTCCGTCTGGCTGTTGTCTATTTGATGTCTATTTGTCCGCAAAAATTTAACATCGCCCATAACTTTTGATTGGTTTGAGCTATGTCCCTCATATTTCACATGTATAGTTCTTGTGATAAAGCCTTTTCAAGAATTTACCCAGCTTTAATCTTGAAAATAACTTTTGAACAGTTGTTAGGTGTTAGGGCTTTCATACTCTACATGAGTATTCTTGTGATAATGTTAGATTTTTTCTATGAATGTAAATATTTTGACCATGCATGGTCTTTGAGTTTGACCTACTTTTTAAAAAACCCTTAACTTTGGTCATAACTTTTGAACAGTTAGTTCTAGGGTCTTCTTACATGTAAGCCACGGGTGTATTTCATGTCATACGGCCTTCTTGGATATCAACAATTCTGACGTTTTGATCTTGGAGTTTGACCTACATTTAAAAAACTTAACCATAACTGGCATATATCTTTAAACGGTATTTATCAGTTAACCTATGTTTTACAGTAACAAATGAATGTATGTTTTACAGTATCAATATGGAAATATACAGAACAGTACCTCAATTCTAAAAATTCTATTGAAACAATACTTATTGGCAGCACAGCAAACATATGTTGTTAGAATACCATCAAAGTCTTTTTCTATTAAAATTTTCAAATATGAAACAGCTATATCATACCTAGTTTTATCGTTCAGTTTGAGTTCATAGGGGGATATCAAATCAAAGAAGGATGAAAAATAAATTTAACATGAATATTAACAATTTATAAAATGTCTTTGATAAATCTAAATGTCGAATTGAATGCCACACCAAAATACCTTTATTTTCCTAGTTAGTATCCATGGGAATTCCATAAGATTGTTTGAAGTCGTGGTTTCCAAAACTTAAACATATACGTTTTGGAAACCAAGTCTTCCAACAATCTTAATTATTGTTCCTATTTTGATTCTTAAGCCACTCAACAATTTACCACAAAAAAAATAAAAATCTTAATTTAAGCGAATTGCATATCATATGTCGGAGAATTACTGCAATGAAGATTGCAAAGAGTGTCAATCGTATTAAAATTTCATGAAATGTTTTATTTTTCTTTTTCGATCAATTACCTTTCCAAGTCATTTTCAAAAATCATTGAGATTTTTTTTATAAGATCCTTGAAATTCTTGGGAAAATTAAAACATTTTATTCTTTGAAGTTAAGTATAAGGTTGATAAGTGAATTGTTTTCTGCATCTGGCATATATTTTTAAACAAAGCGTAACAGATGCTGGAATCGTTTACCAGTTAGCATTGATTATGCAGCATATTTAGTTAATTATAGGATGTAAAACATTTTGTGTTAAGTTTATATTGCATTTAAAAAAGAATAATACAAAAGAGCAAGGCTGGAAATGAAAATAAAAATTTGCACATGGATAAAAAAAAGTTAGAATGACACTTCAGATACGCTGTGTTCGTGTTTCTTTTAGAATGAGGAGCTAACTTGTGAGCAAAATGGCGAAAAGCAACATATTTACAGAGTCTGAATCATTTAGAACTCAAAATAACGATTTGCTCTTTTGAACTTTGGAAAAGTAGATTTTAGATGATTTCATGTTTATGATGTGTAGCATTTAGCACGAACTTGAAAGTTATAAAAACTAAGCACTAAAAGATTTAGCTAGGAAACTTTAAAACATCACGGAAAACCGTGCCTCCATTGATTATTCTACACTGTGTAATCTTGTTTTTATTAATAAAACATGAACTAAACGGCACACTCCGGAAATTTATTTCTAAACATAGTTTATTGACTTACTGGATTGAAAAAAGTACATGTTAACAGGTGTCCCTATGTGTAACTATAGGTATTGTCCATTCCGCCGTCACTACGCAAAAGAATAGAAAGAATTAGGCGTTAGTTAATTGCTTACTATCTGATATTCTTCATTATAGACGTTTCTTACGTCTTTGATGATTCATTTTCAACGTGATGATGTGTTTCTGATACAAAATCCCTTTTCGTCAATTTTCTCTTGATCGGATATAACTGACATTTATTGGTGTTGTGTTTTACTTTTGGTATTTACAAAATCATGTATAAGCAAATTATATCATGATGTTGCCAGTCAGTTCCTTCTCTTAAAATTAATTCCGTTTTTCGAGTTTCTAAGTCGAGTGATGAAACACAGGTCTAAATTCTAAAATGATAAACTAATAAGGCATGTGACAGCATCTTCGTTGGTTTTCTCTAATTAGATTGTAAGTTTGCTATTTATTTTTTGCCGACTTACCTTGGCAAAATAGCCTTATTTTCATTTTTAAGATTTTTAACTTTGGTGAAATATGCTATATTACTAAGCTTTTAACTTTATCAATATGTCTGTTAGCTTTTCGCTTTTTGACTTTTTAAAATCCCTTTCTTTTGGTTCTTCTTTTCTCCCTACGTACTGCTTTCTCGTCTGAAGTCAATAAAACTTGGTATAAAAGTAAACCGAACCAAGATTTTATCTTCTGGTCTTGACGTAGGTACATGTACTTATTTTCACCCTCTTTTATTGTAAATTCAAAGCAGTAGAGCTTAAATCCAAATGAGATATATCTTATCATTTTACTTGATTTTTTTTCTCGTTTCTTCTCTGTAATGATACAGCTTGTAAATCAAGATGCGGAATTCTCTCGAGTGCAATTAACTGTGTATTTCAATGCTTCTTTAATGTTCCTTTCATTGTTTAACTTTCATTTTATGGATTCTCACTGACAAAAATATATCGTTGAAATATTGATTATCTTGGAGGCCTATGCTGTTTTCCCTTTTATTTAATACTCATTCAGTTTCATTCTTTTTAGTTTCATGTTTTTATCATCGTCGTTAAATCAATACATTGTTCATTTTACAAAGCAATGGATAGAATATTTACTTTCTTCAATTTAGTTATCCACAAACAAACCCTGATTACATTTGTTTGTGCTTCAGTCCCTTTCTGTATAAAGAGTTGTTGCTGTTTAATTGAATTTCTATAGTTTCTGTCACATCCTAAGCTTTGATTAATGAATTACATTAATTAAACTTGTCGCCCAAATCCTGAAAAAAAGAAAAGCAATTTCGCCCAAAGTATTATCCTATGCAAATCTAAGTTATATTGATCCTTGGTTTCATTTGTTAAGTCTTGCTGACCATTATCGTATATGGGTGAGGAATTTCCATTTCTGTCATTCTGTATCGACACAGGTTCTCGGATTGGTTTTGTGCAAATGAAACACAGTATGATAGTCATTAACTCATTGACCTTGTTTAATTGTTAGAGAACTATACTAGGGTTGTAAATGTACTTGTCCTTTATGATTTACTCTGTTTGGAAGTAGATTTTTCATTTCAATTCAGGTATCGTAATTAAATGATATGCTTGTTAAGTATTATTTTTTGCATAAATTTGACATAAAATATGATACTACGTATGCAAATCAGATAAATGTTGCTCCATTTTGAATGATGCAGAGTTACTTTGTAAAACATTGATTGTTCAAATGAATATTGGGAAACACATGGTGGGCTTTTTATCAGGCCTATGTGTCCATAATATTTCTTTTTTCAATACGTTTGGAAAAGATTTAATTAACAAACGAAGACGAATTCTTGACATTTTTTTTTTTCAAATTTAAATAACAAATATTTTTACTAAGATTTTTACTTCTCACGAAAACATTTAGTCTTTGTGATAAACAAAACGGATATATTACAGGATAGTCTCTAAACGAGTCAAAATAAAAGGCGTTCAATTTTATCATGCCATGCAAGTATTTTTGAAAGTCATTCACAAAGACAAATACTAACCAACATTAAATCCGTGGGAAAAAGCTAAACGGTGCACAAATATTTTATATTGACAAGGCATAGGAGAAGAATTTTTCAAGAATTTTGTAAATAAAAACCAATTACTTTACTACAAGGATTCCGAGGGATTGATTTGTATAACGGTTTTAATGGGGAAGAGTGAATAAAATGTCGAACCGTGTATATCAATATAATTGCAATAGTGTACTAAGTAAATTTAAAAAAAAAAAAGTGCTTGACAGCAATCTGCCATTCATGAGATGAATTTGTAAAATGTTACCATTGTCAGTTTATGAATCATGATCTATATAGATTTTTTTAAAGTTAATTGAGTTGGTTCAACTTACTTGTAAGTACAGCTGTAACGTGTCGTTTCAACGTTTCAATTCAACGTATCATTTGTGACAAAACATGGCTAAACTTTCAGCCTTATATTAGAAATAAATTGGAATTTTAACTAAGAAAAAGCCAAATCTCTCTGATTTAAAATTAACAAACTCTCTGAGCCGTGTTTATCCATTAATGGATTCATTATCTGTTTCAGCTTGGGAAAATGTTCTTTCCGCCAGCTAATTAAGATGGTCCCTAACAGGAACACGACTCATAGCTGTTCCACCGAGCAGACTACCGAGGCCAATATAGCGCCACAAGAGTCGGAGATCGAAGCGGTCCTGTATATAGTGGTAACTTTGTTATTTTATTCGCTGGGTATTATCATTGGAATTATTCTGTATTTGAAGAGAGAGAAGCAGGAGATCGAGGAGGATAAAGTATATGACGAGTTTTTATCTTACGCAGAAGATCCGTATACGGCTCTGCGGTATGCGAGGGTACAGCAAGTAGTAGCGAGACTTAATTACTTGGAACAGCAGAAGAAAAGGAGGGAAAGGGTCTCAGCAGACAAAAAGTTATCAATAATGGACGACAGGCGGGCGAATTGTGAGAATGTTACAAAAGTGAAGGATTTGAATGAGGATAGTAAAAAAGTTGGGTATCCGCCTAAAATGTGTGATCAAGATTGTGATTTTGTCGATGAAGGTGAAGAGACAGGGGATTACAATGTGTTCGAACAAGACGGGGAATCGATCACTGCCGTCGTTGCCAAATTAATAGATCCGGAAAAAGATAAATATCTACTCGAGGATTCAATTGAAGACAATGTTAAAGTAGGCATTCCAACTTCGAGTTCATTGCAGTCCATTAAAGATTATGAAGAGGAGCCGCGGCGAAGTGAACGATCTTCTGTGTCGTCTGCAAGTGAAGAAAATGTGTCTGGTGAAGAAAAAACTAGATTGATGAGTGAAAACGACTCTGTTTTTGAAGACGCTACAGAACAAAAACAAAAGAAAATCAAAGGTTGCATCGTCACAAACGTTTAGCAGTAAGAAACAGACGTGTGGATGCGAGAAGTCTAGAAAATTCAATTATCATGCAATGTATTCCATGGGAATGTAATTTGTTTACGACGTTTTTATTACTCGTATGAATTCAACAGGGCACTGATATTATTGATTGGGTACAGATGTAAGAGAAATTATTGTTTGTTGTATGGTTTTCAAGTTGACCTCTGTGAGACAACATTTTCATCGAATAACGATATAAACTCGATTAGCAAGTAGACCTCAGACGAAATCACTCCTATTTTGTACTTGTATTTTATTTTCCATGTTTTGTAAAACAGTATTGATATTTGCACGATTTTTACAAGTAAAAGTGAAATAGTCATAGAATCGACTTGTACGCTTAAGGAATTTGACAGATTGGAGTCATGTAAAAATCACATTCAAATTTTATCCTTTCCATGATACTAGTATAATATTTAATGATATACATGTACAAAGTTTTGCCAAAAGTCAAGGATCTTCAAACCGATTCCAATATAGCCTTTACAGTAACAAGTACGTTTTTTCAACTGTTTTACTAAATTTTGTCTTTGATTATTGGCAGAGGATTTAAATATAAATGTGGTACATTATGCAATGGTACGATGTATGCAAGTATAAATGTTTTATTTTTTTTAAGGGGGTTAAAATACAACACGAAGTCTTGCCATCCATTATTACATTATATTGACAAAGTTACTGCCATGGAATGCTCTAAATATATTTTGTTTCAGATGGTTTTGACGTAAATTGGAATTCTAGACACTTTCAACGGTGAAAGTTTTAACAAGTTTTGTACATGTTGCAGACAAAACTATTAGTTGTTGCAATATCCAAGTATCCATTTTCTTCGAGAGTGAAATTAGAAATTAAAGTAGACCTTGAATCATATTTTTTTACCTAAACAACACCATCACAGATCATGATTTATTTTTTAAAAGAGACAACAAATTTAGAATTTTTAAAGCATCTCTGATATGATCTTTTTGTATTAATCAATCGAATATTTCTTCAAAATCTTAGGGGATAAACATGTATGCAAGTGAACTTCTAATTGTGTTCAGGATAAGACAAAAAAGAATGAAAAACTTATTATTCTAAATGAATTTTAGCTAATATTAAATGAATAAAGATTAGTTAGGCAACAAAAATACTTGGCGAGACGATATACATACGAGTACATGTATGCAAATGTTCAAATAGGGAATGAAATCTCTAAACCTCAGATTATAAATGGTCTTAAAGCTATCAACATATACTATTATGTAAAGATTTCTCTTATACTTGTCCATGCTTATTGAGTTTGCGAAGAATTTTGTCTGCAAATAAGCCGGACGATTTCTACCCGGCCTCCTTGTAAGTACAGCATCAAAGACAAATTTGTTTATTCGGAACCAATATAAAAGCAAAGGGAAATTTAAGTAAGAGTTCTCTAGCATATAAACATGCATTTTGTTGCTTCAAAACATCATAAATTTGCCTCTTCGTTATTCCTAGAAGAATGTCAAGAAAAAATGAATTCAATGATTTATTCTGGTTTTCAAAAACTACTAATGAACTAGAGATAGGAATTTTTAAAACCCGACATAAATCAGTTCGCGTAATGATTACTAATGTACAAAAACCCCGTTATAATTGAACAGAAGATTTCACACGAAGAGTTTATGAATAACAATTCTCAAAGATCGTTGAGTCTGAGTTTTTTTTCCGCAGAGTTGTTAGTGTGCTTAACAACTTTGTCTGAAGAATAAGATGCAAACCCAATAAGTCATGAAATTCTGTGTCTATTGAAGCTAGCTGTTTTCTGATAACTTATGCATAGTTTGCTAATTTTGCTGGTTCCAGAGGACAAAATCAGATTTTCTGGACAAGTCAGTTGTCGATAAATAATTTTTCAACGCTATAATCTATGTCAACATTTTCATTTGTCAAACATGTGCTTAAAATCAAACAGACAAATTTAAAATTCCATTTACAGTGCGTGTAATCTGAAGTCAGACGGTTACTTTTACTTACGTAGCATGTTTGTTTAATTCGATATATGCTCTGGTAGACAATCTTATTTCAATTTTAGATCTCATAGTGTAAAGAATACTGGATATATATATTTAAAGTGGTAAGGAAAAAAGGGTCGAGGTTCACGGTGAAAAATACAATACAGGTGTCAGATTGGATAGGTTTTCTGTATTCGCCCATTCTCGGACATTAAAGCTGACATGAATTCTGAAAAACGCAACATTTTCATCTATGTACGACTTGTTTCATACCAACGATAGCCGTATTCCGCCATATTTCTTTCAGATACCTTGTCTCATTGTAACGATGTATACCCCAATGCGCTCGTTACAGTTCAATGATTTTTTGGTTTGGGTATCGACTTGTGCACATCTCCGATGGTAAAGCATATATGAGATCACATAAGGATATCAAGACATTTCAAAACCACAATAAACAAAATAATAATCATATTTCTGAATAATTATTGATTTGAATCAAAAGAAAAGAAATGCAAGTTTGGTGAGAAATTTAGATGCACGAGTACGTATTTTTACAGTGCGACAATTTATGCAGAATAAACTTGAAATAAAAAGCAGTAAAATCTGCAACACATTTTGAAATTATTATTATTTGAATGGCGTAAAACAACCAACGTCTTTGATTTGCAGCCCCTATGCAATTGGTGCATATCGAGAAAACGCCTCGAACGCTGTAAACGTACCCATGTACCTGGTAAAAAGGTTACTGCATCGGTTCGAAGATGTGCACAAGTCAAGTGATATACACCCTGAATTCCATTTATTGAAATATGCATCACAATAAAGAAATAAACTCCGTAAAAGCTCAATAGTAAACACACTGTCATTACTCCGTACAGACAAGCACGTCGATACACCTAGTCCGTGCTAATCAATCATATTTTGGTCAGGGAAAATATCACAAGTGGAAAGAGAAGTTATTTGGTTTTTGCGCGGCTGAAGGGGGGGGGGGGGTTATAACTGCTGTTCAGAAGCTATAATTGTGAATTGTCTTACATGTAGTTCTAATATACATTATAATCAAAGTCATGTATATAGTCTGCAGTTGGTTTGCGTCGCAAAATTCATTTGTCAATTATCATGATTATAACTGATAATTGTAGTACTAATCTCAAATCTAAACCAAGTAATTTGATGTACGGCAATTATTTACTACAAATCTTAAAAGCAATGACCCAGAATATTTTTTTTATGTGTATATAGATCTATACGTTCTTTAACACACAAACACACGAAGAAATGCCATCCACTGTTCAGATTGACATTTAGGCATTTGATTTTTTAGGCGGGGTGGGGGGGGGGGGGGGCGTGCAAAAATAATTGACATGACCGTTATCAAAATATTCTTGGAAGACGGACATCTTGCCGAATTCAATTTTGAAAATTTTATTTTTAAATGTGTCACTCCGACCACAATGTATGTGCATTTTGAGGTATGTATAAATGTTCTATAATTATGGTGTTATAGAGAGGCTTTTGAGATTTCACTATCCTTGTCTGATAGTGTAGGTACTTTTTTTATATTTAAAAATTATCTCTGTAGGAGTATTTGGGAGATAATTCTAAAAGCTAAGATACAAAGTCTTGACACTGGTTGAATACGGATAATTTTATTTACTAATTGTATATTGAACTAACTCTCTCTCTCTCTCTCTCTTCTCTCTTTCCCTCTCTCTGTAACCATCTGTAACCATCTCTTAGGGCAATAATAAGTATAAGATCCTACGCACTTTGTGCCGTCCATTTATTAATCCTTAGGACAGATCAAGGGTTTTTAAACTAGAGGTATTGTGAGCAATGAGCTCACTAAATGATACCCCCGCCGCCCATATGGTTATAAGAGGATTTGCAGATAGGAGATGGGTACCCTAAAGCGTAGCAGACCTACGGACGGACATAACTATTATATATACCCTCCCACTTTTCAAGCGGGAGATAAACGTGAAATATACATCACAGGAATGGGTACATCGGGAACTTTCTCAAATACCTTCTCAAACGCATTGGCGTCGGAAGCAAATTGAAACTGGGGGGGGGGGGGCTAAGTGCAAAGAAATTTTTTTATACATTCAAAATATATAACACAAATCTCCTATTTCGTGTGGGGGAAAGGGGGGTGGGGGTGGGGTGGGTTCGAACTTCAGTAACAAATTTTTTCTCCAAACACCAACACATTCCTCTTTTTTAACTTATACTGCGACTTGTCTGTGAAAAGCGGGGGGATGGGGAGGCTAAACCTACGCAGCAATATTCAATGTCTATACTAAGTATATATTTGTAACCCCCCCCCCCCCCCCCCCCCGGTTCCGACACTCTAATGCTGAACCTGGACAAGAAACAAGAGAATTTTTAAAAAGCTAATTGTAGGTAGAATGTGGATTTCTCACGGGGAGTTTCCTCTCTCTTTTTATCTGTTTTTTCTAGTAATCATTAATTACTTATGTCTAGAAATTTAATTCACACTAAATTATCATTTCATTATTATTGTACCACAGAATCAAACTAGTTTATTATACTCCGCGCAACAAATTGCGTGAGGTAACATGTTTTGGACCCATCAGTCAGCCCTTTTTTTTGGGGGGGGGGGGGGGGGGGGCAGCGCAACTTCTTATAAACTAATGCACAGAGTTTTGTTGAACTATGCTGATATTCATAGGAGTCAATGTGTCTGTATTTGTACACCACCAGGAAATTCCGAAATCTTTATTTTTTCGGGAATTTCCGCACTTTTACATTTAGATTTTGACCATATCTTGAATATAAAGATGAGCAGTTTGTCAGCACAATTCCTCATAAACCGGTGCATATAATTTCGTCAAACTTAGCAGATAATTAGGACACAACGTGTATAGATGTGCATATTACAAGGAAATTACGATTCCTTTATTTTTTCTGTGAATTTCAGCACTTCGACTTTTGTGGGAGCGTGGGGTATGTGAATTTACTCACTTTTTCTTTCATTGTGCATAAAATTATAAATAACTTTAAATCAAATTATATTTTGTCTAATAAAGCCAATACACAGTATTTATTTGATTATATTTGATCACAAAGAAATCCCATCTGTTTCAGACGTTTTTCTTAAAATGTTTTTATGAGAGGATATGCATGTTCTATCCCCCCCCCCCCCCCTTCACAGGAAAATATCTTCATATCTTCAAAAGTTGAATGATTCGTAATGATGCATGCTTTATTATAAATTTGATGAAGTTAAACCATGTTTTAAAAATTTTATTTACACCATTTACAGACAAGAGTAATGTTTATTCTTGAAAAAAAAATTATTTGCATTTTCTTCAGTCAGCCCCACGGCGCTTTCAACCTTTGATATTTTCCCTGAACAAATAAAATGATCGGCATGGACCACGTGTGTCCAAGCAGTTTTTTTTACTGTTGAGTTAGCAAT